TCTTTACTCAGTCAGTATTTTCCTATCTCTGCCCACGGGCAACGGTAACGCTTCCGTGAGTCGCTGAGTACATCCCTTCATTCGTTGCCATTTTTCATAAATATATCTCGTTTTTCCGGCTGGGCAGTATTTTTAAGCAAAGACGTCGGTCACTACCTCAAGCCGATAAATAACTTATTAATCCTCTCTTTTCTCTCTTTCAAGTCACTTTGGTTGACTGAAAAATTTTCCTTTCAGAATGATTTTTCTGTATAAGCAATAGCGTCATTACATTGGTTGACGGGCGGCCTAAAAACCGTCTGCAATTAATTCTAATCGTTCACAAAAAGTACCTAGAAAGTTAAAACGTGAGATATTTGGTTACAGTTGAACTAATCGATAGAAGTTTCATTTATTTAATATCTGAATTTTCTCAAACAATTTGTTCGCAGTGAAACAAACATACGCTCTCGGTGAGTCTTTTCAAGTCCGTTCAATTTGGACATTTGTACCGTAAATTGCACAACAGAAACTCAAGGAATTAAATGAGAAAAGGCCGCATTAAATCCCCTTGTGTCTCGTTGGAGTGTATCATCCGAATTGAGTTTTGTGGAGGAAAGACCAGATTTTCACCATTGCAGCAAACAAACGGGCAAACTCTCACAACTTTAAAACAAAAAATTTGAATTTACTCACAATTACTTTCCTCGCCGATTACTTAATGAACAGAGGTAAATCTTCGTACATGAACAATCGTCTATGAAAGTGAATAATACTTTCCGTAAGGTCATTGACTGTTTTTGAAGAGAAAATTGCATTGACCGTCCTTGCCAAACTAGTTTCGTTGTTTTTCAAAAATGTACATGCGCTTTTTCTTTTCTTACGCTCAAGGCCGAGGATCGCGTAAATTTTATCGCGTGACACAACCAAAATCCTTCCACGCCCTACTAGTAATGGTAGGTCTCAAAGTCTCAATGAACCTGAGATCGTTAGCGCGCACTCTGACAACATTTCGTTGCACCAAAACCACTATTACGTGACACGCATTCGTATTTATTATTAACTCAGTTCTTTAGCGAAGATAGAACGTTTGGCTGAATTTTATTTTTACAATGCACATCTTGTAACAGCGATCAAAATCGTAAAAATATATCCCATACTAATACTTTTTAGATGCTGAATTACCCTACGAAAAACACAGGACGAAATCACATGTTTCCGTATTTCTGAAACGTGGCGGAAACATGTAACTCCATGTTTCCGTTATGTTTACGTAAAAGTGGTCCGGTTCCGTTGTATACGCAGCAACGGAAACACGAGAAAACGTCACGAAACCGGTAACGGAAACACAGGTTATCCGTCGTGTTTCCGGAACGGTTTAACATGTTTCTGCCACGTTTCCGTTTACGGATTCTTGCAATTTCGTCCTGTGAAAGCTAAAATTCATAGACGTTATATATTGGTTAGAACATTTGTTTCAAATTACATTTTAGTGTTAACTTCTACAGATATAAATGTTCCTCAGAACCAATAGGGATAACTTATTGTTTATCCTCAGGAGGTGGCAGAGGTTTTTTTTCTTTTTTTTTTAAATTATTATTTTTTTATCTTTTATTATTGTTGTTGTTGTTGTTGTTTTTTTCTTTTTTATAATGGAATACGTGGTTTTCAGGGGGAACAGACAAGGTATCAATTAGAGGATCAGTACTGTGTATGGAGAGGATTCCATTCCCGCCTGTGAAATTACAAAAAGAAAGAGAAACTTCTTTAATAACTCATTACAACTTGGCTCACTAAATCACTTATTTTTAAGTATATAAATAACTAGATATATATATATATATATATATAGACTCAACCCCCACACACATAAATATATATATATATGTATATATATATATACATATATATATACTAAATTTCATTCGAAAATAGAATAAATGAACGAGAGAATAAAGTTCTTGATCTATTGAAATATATCGTGAATTGCTGAAAGTAAATCTCAATTTTTCGTGTCGAAGATCGACCACCCTTGCTCCTTAATAACATGCTAGTCCATCTGCCATCGTAGGGTACTTTTGCTTAGTAACACAAAACTATGCTAACTCAATTAGCATTGGTAATTAGTCCCTAGGGATTTTGGATATAGTAGATTGTTTTGTATCACTCCTTGTCACTTCACTTGAGGCCTTGGGCTGTGTACTGCTTGAAGCGTTCTATAACTTTTTTCGACGGATCAATCCGACATGGCGGAACAAGTTCCCCAAGCCGTTGCCGGTGGAGCGATAGCTCAAGTTGTTCAAAATCCTCAACCTGCTCAAGGCGAACCTGCCGTGGCGCAGCAAGCTCAGGACCAACCTTTGGCACAACAAGCTCAGAATCGAGAGGTATGCATCTTTTTCTGTTTCGGATACCATGTGGTTGATTATATTTCAGTGGCTAATTTTTATCGGTAGAGTTTAGATTTGGTTTACTTTCTGTAGATGTGAAATTGTGTCAGGCCTGCGGGGCCGTGAAAGTTTTTTCTTTGCCTGCGGGGCCGTTAAAGTTACTTGCCTGCGAGGCCGTGAAAGTTTTCTTTGCCTGCGGGGCCGTGAAAGTTTTTTCTTTGCCTGCGAGGCCGTGAGAGTTTTCTTTGCCTGCGGGGCTGTGAAAGTTTTTCTTTGCCTGCGGGGTGGTGAAGTTTTCTTTGCCTGCGGGGCCGTGAAAGTTTTCTTTGTCTGCGTGGCCGTGAAAGTTTCTTTGCCTGTGGGGCTGTGCTGAAAGTTTTCCTTTGCCTGCGAGGCCGTTTGGATTTATTTGCCTGCGGGGCCGTGGAAGTTTCCTTTGCTTAGGAGGCCGAGAAATTTTCTTTGTCTTCGTAGCCGCGAAAGTTGTTTTGTCTGCGGGGCTGTTAAAGTTTTCTTTGTCTGCGGGGATCAAAGTTTTTTTTTTCCTTGCTTGCGAGGCCGTGAAAGTTTCTTTGTCTGCACTGTCATTTAAATTTTTTGTTTGTGCTTCTGGGGTCGAAAATAGTTTCGGTGTTTTGCTTTTTGGAATGAAATGCTTTGTGTTCACCTTCAGTTGAGGTAGTGTGATGCTGGCGCGCAAGAATAAATTTTTTCTCCTTTAGCCTTTTTTGTTTTTGTGGCTTGAATTTTACTTTGTAGCCCCTCGTTTAAGAAATTGCTTGCTGATGTAGAAAGTTCTGTTGCCGTGCTTTGCTTCGTTGGAGTGTGATGCCTGAGCATCAGTCGCCGTTCATTTGCTTGTGCAAGCTTACGTGTAGTAGCTTTTAGTTGTACGGTATGTAAAAAAAAAAAAAAAACCAAAGACTGCTCTGCCGTTGTGTGTTTTTAAAACATTTTTTGGCCTGTGAGGCTAGGAGCGTTCATCGTTTTTGCTGGAAGTTTGAGGTTTTGATAATTTAATTTAATTTTTATTTAATTTAATCTAACCTAATGTAATGTAATATTTCATAACTTGTAATCTAATCGGTGTTGTTCTTTTTCAGCCTGTATTATACTGTGCTCGATCAGTTATGAGATTGAGTAATGGAAAGAAAGGGAATGAATGGATCAGTGATTTTTTATCTTACCTTTTGAAATCTGTTATATAGGAGGAGGGTGATCTTGCTCGTGTCTTAGAGAGACTTAAGAAGTTGGAAGATTCCCAAAAGCAATCTGTTGAATCAGTGTTAGAGGATTTACAGCACCTAATACGTTCTCCGTTGTTCTAGAAGGACCAGGCAATTGATTACCTAGTGAATCTGAAGATTGTGGCCAAGGAAACAAAACACGCGAAAGCTGGATTTTATTCTGCAGTGCTAACGGCAATGCAAAATAAAATGTGGGCCTCAATCATGCAATTTAAGCGCTATCTTGAAGCCCTCTTAGGGGATAAAGAGGATGAAGTGGTACTCAAGCGGATTGCTGCCGTAGATAAAGCGTTGCGAGTGCCTGGAGTTGGTGCAAATCGTTTCATGCCAAGGGGGAGAGGCAGGGATAGATCACAAGTCCAGGGTTTCAGTGTGGCCTATATGGGCATTATCAGAGGTTCTGTCCCTCGCGTCCACAGCCAGGTCCTCAGTCTAAGAGGCCTCGCCTTTATAATCAAGGAGTTGAGGCACCTCAAAAACAATGAATGTATTGACAGGATTAAGGCGTTTTCCCAATGTTTTTGATCAGTTTCCAGTATTTATGCCGTGTGTTTCCCGGCATTAAAGGCTCCCTTTTCATTGTGTCAATCGGTGTCTGTTGTTGTTTCAATTTTAATTCACTCTTGTAAGTTCTGGATCGGGGTAGAGTAGCTCCTGCTGGTTCATCACATATGGTGACCACCAGACGAACTGTTTTCAGGCGAATTGAGGCTGCTCCCTCCTGATCGGGAACCCCAGGTCTTCCCATAGGTGATCTCTCTTTTTGCCATCTTTTCCTTAGATTTTGGGTGGTACTAAGCGTAAAGCTGCTGTGGATAACTTTTACGTTCTTACGGAATTTCAACTACAGACAACGGCAATTAAACCAAGAAACGAGACCCTATGGGTGGATATGACTGGGGTTCCCATTCAGGGGGGTGCAGCTGTGTGTTGGGAAAGTGTTATCTCATCTGATAAGGTTCCGGATCTGGGGACTTTACATTTAAGGGATCCGGATTCCTTTGTGGCAGGTGGTCTTCACCGTAATTCAGCCGCATGGGAGCTGGTACTTGAGGGTCATCCGTTGAGGAACTGTATTCTAGATTGGATTAGAAATAAAGTCGACATCTTAAGTTTTTCAAGACCTTTTGCGGGAGTTTTTAAGAGAGCTAAATATTCGTCTGCTGTTCCACCTAAGAAGATTTTCCCGAATCATGTAAACTGTAAAAATTTTACGGAATTTATATCCAAGGAGATTCGGAATCGTGTTTTAACCGGCGCTGTTAGAGTCTGGGGGTAGTGGGTGTCGATGATCCCCCCCCATCTTGTGTTGCCACTCACGGTTGAACCTACGAAGCCTCGACTTTGTATTGACGCGAGGTTTCTAAACCTTTGGATGAAAGATATGCCGTTTTCCCTGGATAAACTGAGTGAAGTGACTAGGTATGTTTATCCCGGATCGTTCATGACCAAGTGCGACGACAAGTCCGGGTATGATCACGTGATGTTGACAGAGTCCTCGCAATCATACTTTGGGTTTAGTTTTGGTGGCCTGTGGTTTGTTTGTACGACTCTTCCGTTCGGATGGAAAATCTCCCCTTATGTTTATCATACCATTGGTCTGGCCGCCACAGGTTTCTTGAGAGCTCAAGGGATTCCTTGTTCTCTCTATATAGACGATCGCTTAAATGGAGAGCTTTTGCGACCGACTGGGTCTTGGTCCATATTACCAGCGGACAGATCTTTGCAGTTCAGGTTGCTGACAGCTACAGGTGCCATATTCGTTGTCCTTTCTGTGTTGGTTGATCTCGGTTATACCATTGGTATCAAGAAGTCGGTTCTTGTGCCGGTCACATCCCTGGGGTATTTGGGTCTGATCGTGGATTCCGTTCGACAATCGTTTTTGGTGCCGCGCCGTAAGATTGAGTCCTGGGCCTTAATTAGGGAGAAAATTCTTGCCTGCAAGAAAACTGTTTGGATCAAAACTTTACAACGATTTCAGGGGAAATGCATATCTTTCTCTTTGGCTGTTCCAGCCGCGAAATTGTTCATTAGAGAAATGAGTAGAGCGATCGCTTCTGGCTTGGATGATGGGCAAGTGTCTATGACCGACGCTTTGAGGGAGGAAATTTCGCATTGGCGTTACCTTGACGACTGGAAGGACACTCTTCCGTGGAGAGACGAGAAGCATGTGCGTATTGCGATTTCTACCGATGCGTCCGGTTATGGGTGGGGTTGTGCGGTTCATTCACCTTCGGATGATCAGATTTTTCGAGATTATTGGAGTCAAGAGGAACTGTGTCTCGATATTTCTACAAAGGAAATGTTAGCTTTGTTGTATGCTATTAAAGCTCTTCCTGACGGAATTAAGGATTGCCGAATTGATGCTTCTATTGACAGTATGGCAGTATTAGGTGCGTGGCAGGGGTCTGGCAGTAGGAGATCCCCCAGTTAACGTCAGCTACAAAACGACTTTATTTTGCTCTATCTTCTCGTAATGTTCAGTTGAACTTATCCTATGTACCGTCTAAGGAAAATGTGGCCGATTTTCCGTCTAGGACAATGTCACGTGTGGATTCCAAATTGTCAATGTCAGCTTTTGAGAGGGTCGATAAAGAGTTTGGTGGAGTTGAAGGTCATTCGTTTGACTTGATGTCTTTGGACTCAAATGTAATGAAGAACAAAGATGGGTTTTCCTTGCCGCATTTTACTCCTTTTCCAAGCCCAGACTCCAACGGTGTGAATGTCTTCAGACAAGACTTGCGGGTTTTTCCGTTTATGTCCAATCCTTATGTCTTCCCGCCATTTTCTTTGATTGGTCCACTGTTGAAGTTTCTCTTGAATTTTAAGATCCCGTTCACTATTGTGGTTCCAGAGTTTGTTCCTCATCGCTATTGGTGGGTTGAATTGAACGCAAGGTGTTCTGGGAAAATTTGTCTTGGTACACAGGGTGACTTGAGTGTTCTGCTATCCCCATCAAAGTCGGGTTATAGTCCAACACCTTGTCCCTTTTCTATGTGGGCGTTTCGCGTGTCTCGGTTCTAGGTGTAGAGTC